GGACTGGAGCTATCGGAATGAGACAGCTCTCTACCTCCTGAGCCCGACTCACAGTGTCGGCGAAAGACATCAGTCCGTGACTCCCCACCAGTTCACGGATCCTCTGATTGAACCCCTTGAGAAACTTGCGGGCCTTCTTGGCATCGGTATTCACCGAGTCGCCAGCAAAAAGACACATCCGGGTGAAAGTGCAAATATACTCGTCCACGGTGGAGCTGCCCTGCTGCAAATGGTAGAACTCATGCTCCATCCTATCCCAAAAACTCTGGGGAAGGAACTTGCCGCGCACCATCATTTTCATCTGCTCCCACGTGAGAGCATGAAGCTCCACCTTTGGCCTCCGAGCCCAATGGTCAATCCACCAGTCAGAAGCGTCCTCCTTCATCTTATAAGCTGCGAGTGATACACGCTGTCGGTCCGGGAGGGGGAGCACAGCGAAAATCTTATCCAGTTCCTTGATCCACTCCAGTACCGCTATGGGGTTCTCAGTCCCTGCGAAAGTCGGTGCATTCATTCTCTGAAACTGGACTATGAGCTGGGTAAGGTCCATGGCCGGAGGGGCCTGGTGATGATGACGAGGCGGAGAAGGAGACGGGGATGGCTGACTGTTACGATTGTTGCGGGTATACATAACTCTATATTGAATAAGCCGAACAAGGTTTAGCACAAAACACAAACAAAATAATCATAGTCTCAGAAGTCTAGAGTTTGCCTTTAAACACTAGAGTTCGATTAAATCCAGGTGGATAGATCCTAAGCCCTGAATAACAGTTACAACACAAGTAGTTTCATCGCTACATGTGTACAACCTCACAATTCACAAACTACATATTTTCATTAATACTTAAATAAAATATACCTTATGCGGTGTGGCGTGACGGAGACGAGTGGTCATAATACAAGGTCTAAACACATATTCACATATAAACCAGTCTACAGAAACGCAAACTGGCTCTGATACCAAACTGTAACACCCCACTTTGATTTTAAAGAAATCCTGGACTTTCTAAAAATCAGAACAACATTTTTTGAATTCATTTTCGAAAATATAGGGCATTAACCAAACATATACCTAGTCCAAGTCTTGTCTGAACCCACGGGGATTCATTACCTGATTTTCACAAGGTTTTCATTAACCTATTTCACACCTCATAACATAATATCCCATATGAACAATTGAAACCTCACAAATCAAACCCATGATCATTCAAAGTTCATAAAAGGGTTTTCCAAATTATTCCCAAACATCAAAACATAACATAGTTCGAAAATAGTTTTCACATGTCCAAAACATAGAAAGGTTCATAACGACCATATTATTAAAGCGGAAGCAAAATGAAACAATAAATAGACCACCCACTCGTCCCTTGTTCCGTCACCCGACCACTGCTTAACCTGCATCAATGACGAGCAGGTGGGGATGAGCACAAGAGGAATAGTAGTGCACTATGCAGTAAACGTTATTTACTATAATGAAACAGTAATCAATAATCAAAAGGTATGGTCTCAGCATGAACATAAATCAATCAACATGTCACATCTCCAATCACAAACACCAATTTCATTACTCATGTGTACACACCTATCGTTAGCTACTGCTGGTCTATTCGAGAGCACGCCATGTGACTTAGCTCGTCAACCAGACAATAGGAGTACATGTAGAAAGCACGCCATGTGACTTAGTTCGACACGCATATCGAAAGCACGCCATGTGACTTACTCCGATATGGCCATTCATTAGGACTTAGGGAGACTTGCCTCGCAAGGGCAACCGTACCATAACTCGACGGGAACAACCGTACCGACGGCCGTAACAGCTCACATCGATAGGCTACATGGTTCACATGCATACATTGATCATACCACAAGAACATAAATAACATTTACGGCATAGCATTTTAAATAAAACTCATCTGGATACTGGATTGATAACTGCAAGATATAATAGACGTAGGTTGAGGCTTGACTCCTCAAACACCTACAATAATCAAGGTTCTAAGATCAACACCTATCTTGACCTTAGAGGAACTTCACGAGTCATACTTGGTCGAACTTGATTCAACCAAGTTGTTCGTGAAGTCCTGTGGATGTTGGAACTCTAAAACTTAGACTCGGACAACCAACATGGAAGTTCAAGTAAATATCACATAAGTAGGTTGATCAAGATGTTGAATGAGTTAGGTTCTGAAACTTTAACATAAAATTTTCGTCTTTGAACTTAGTAATATCACCAAGTTTCAGCTCCAAACCCATTAAACAAAATTTTATAAAATTCAAATACGATATCAGCAAAAACAAGCATAAAATTCAAAGCTCGAACTAACGAACGAATTAGCACATGATATTTTTACTGGAGCAAATACAGAATTTAAGGACCAACATATAAAAATTCCAGCATTCACATAAAATACACAAATTATAAAAATTCATAAAAGATTCAGCCGTTTATCAATTTTAATTAAAACTGAACAAATTCCAACCCTGAAAATTCCAATATTTTTACAGCATGCAAGTACACATTAACTAAGCATCTCAGCAAAAATTCAGAATTTTCTAGCGATTAACCAATTTATCATAATTAAAACACTTTACAGTAAAAACCGTAAACAAATTATTTACCATATCACTATCAATCTAAAAATTCTACAAATTTTATATAGCAACCAAATCAGGCAGAAAGATATCATGTTAAAATTTCATGAATTTTCGAGCACTACACAATTTATTTTGAATTTAACATTAATCTGACCAGAAATCACTATAATTTTTAAAAATAGTTACAGACCTCAGAAAATTCTAAAATGTTTACACGAGCTATAGAAATACCAGATTCATATACAGTTAACATTTCACATCAATCGGACCAGTACAATTTATCATGAATTAAATACTATTCAGCAGCTAGTTCGATTTCGAAAAATCATATAGGACCGGAATCACACCCAATTCGTCCGAGGCCTTCGCCATGAGGCCAAGGACTCGACATAGTTCCAAAATCCATAGTCCTAACACAAATTTGATGGGATTTCGCACGATTTCACATTAATCGACAAAATCCCTACATAAACGCATAATATATAATTCAAAATAGCAAAATAACTTCAAAGCTCGAAACACATATATAAACGAGAGGGTAATCGAGCTTCAGTACCCTTCTCGGGATAAGTACGCGACGATGAACGAAACGATAGCCGAGATGGGTCGTTTGGAGGCCAGGAGCATGCTCGTCGGGCTCAACGTCAACGGCTCACGGGGGTGGCGAGTACCTACTCGCGGGGCTGCTCTGGCTCGCTAGGGATGCCGGTAAACGATTGCGGAGGTACCGACGGACAGCGGAAACTTGCTGTGGTGCTCAACCGAAATGAGGAGGCTCGACAACTTCGTTTGACTTGCCGATGGAACACGATAAATGGGACAACAACAAGGGTGTAGAGAGGCTACTTACGGGTCTGGTCACGGCAGCAAGCAGCGAATGAGGACGGTGATGAGGGGCCTGACTCTGGCCTGAGGAGAGGACCAGGTACTTGGGTTGTGAAGGTGGCTGGAAGCTCGCGGGGAAATGAACTGTGGCAAAAATTCACGACAGGAGGGGTAGAGACCGCTGGGCCTTGGTCGCGGGCAGGTGGTCGATCTGTTGGTGTCTCGCGATAGAGGGAGCAGCAGCGGAGCGATTCTCGGTGATGGCGTGATGTGACGGCCTGCTGGTGAGCGTGGATCGCCGGAGGTGCTGACGGGATGGTGCGGCGATGATGGCAGGTATCCTTCTCCTTCTTCTTCCTTTTTTTTTTTTAACGATGGCGATGATGGATTTGATGAAGGTGATCGGATCACTTTTCTGCTCTAAGTAAGCGAATGGAACAGAAAAAGGAAAAAGCTGCGGGGATAAAACTCAAAGCTAGGGTCTGCGTGTTGTGGATTTGCTGAGGGAAAGCTTGTATATATAATGCAGCATTAGGTTTCTATATACTTATTCCCAAAACAAAATCACACACACGCATTTACTGGAAACCGGGTCGGGTGCGGGTCATTGGTCGAAAGTTCTGTTAATGCAGGCTCCAAGAATTTGGACCGATTCTCTGGCTCGGTTTAAATCGCACGATAATTTAAAATAATAACCGGGTAAATATATATACAATACAAATAATAATAATAATTATTAAACATTTACACAATTAATAGCATCTAGACATTTAAATAATAATAATAAGACACAATTTAGACAATTAGACAATAAAAGAAATAATATTAATAATGCAAAAATAATAATCCGAAAATAATTCACAATCGAACGGGGCATTACAATTATAGTTAGTTGAGCAGCAATTATAGTCATTCAGTCGAGCAGCCATTATAGTTAGTCAGCTGAGAATAAGTTATAGTCATCCAGTCGAGCAGCAATTATAGACAACCAGCTAAACACCAGTTATAGGCAGTCAACTATGTAGCAACTATAGATAGTTGTTTTAAGTGTTCATTGGATGAATGTTTAATCTATTAGTAATATGTTCATCATCATATCGTTTTCTGTTGTCCCAGTAAGTACTTGCATATATGTCGATGTCATGATATGTTATTATATTAACTGTATATTTCAGTGCTGGTTCCGGCGGAGCACGTGGATTATTTATGCTCACGCCCCCCACTAACCATTTTTCAGGTGACAGTGTCGAGCGTGGAGCGTGAGCCAATGAGGTGGTGGTGGTCATAGCAAGGATATTTTTAGTAAATATTTCATGTATATTTTAACATGTTTGAATTATTATGCTTTGTTGATGCTTGCTTACATTTGTTTCCGCACTCAGTATTTCAGTATCTAGAATTTCAGTCTATGCATGCTTAAATCCTGAGATGTTTAGAGTAATGAATTATACTCGGTTGCATGCCTAGTAATTTAAAGATATTAAAGATTAAAGATCAAAGTTTAGTAGCATCTCGCAGATTAAAAGTTAAAGTATTGTCGAAAAATTAATATGAGTTTCGAAATTAAAACAGAGCTTTTTTTTATAGCGCGAAAAACTTGCTCTGATTTTAATAAGTCTAGACGGGGTGTTACATCGTTCGTGTTTGAATTATTTAATACTCGAACTTTTAAAATATGTTTGATCAACTCAATATTTATTCGTTCGAACTCAAAAATAAAAAAAAAAATATTTTATATATATTTTAGATATTTTATTAAAATTAGTATGTAAATATATAAAAACTAAAATAAAATAATATTAATTTATGTTCGCGAATATTACTGAACGTTTGAGAACGAGCTCGTGTTCGTTTGATTATTAAACGAGCATAATTTTCTGTTCAAACTCAGATCGATTAACAACCGAACGAACTTTTATCGAACACAAACGAGATCGAACGAACTTTTATTCGCAAACATTCGGTTCGTTTACACTTTACAGTTCTAACGATGAGGCTTTCAATAGAAGACTCATTAGTCCAGAAAATATTCGTATGCACAGGACACGAGGAAGAAAGATGTTAACTTTGCTGGCTAGATGCACCCTTGAAATTTTACTTTTTATGATATAAAACTTGACATACATGTAACCCGCATATACAAATTCTCAACTCGGTCAAGTTGGTAATCGATAAATCTGAAATCGATTCTTGAAAAGTGATGGTGATCAACCCAACATATAATTAACACAAAAAAAAAAAAA